TTTATCCACAGATTCTTTGAAAGATCGCGATAAGGAAGAATGATCATATTCTCTCTCTTTTTCTCTAGGCCTATACATTACATCCAAAACATCTGACATCTTACTAAAACATGTTCACAAAAATGTTTGAATTCATATCAATCAGTCCTAAAAGTAAGCGCTGAATTGACTCAGAATTATCTAACTACCCCAAGAAGCTAACAAAATACTTGTGGGTTTTTCCAGTAAAGTAGTCGGGAATCGCACATTTTTGTTTTCCAGAAATTTTTATTGGTCTGTTTGGACTAATTAGCCAAAGTTTTTTTTTAAGTCTGAATGAAAATGTATTGGTTTGAGACTAATGGACTGATGTTAATGTCTGACCCAGAACCCTGAGAATTTCGTTCAATTGCTCCCATGCTTCTTTGCAGAAAATTTGTTACTCTTGACCGACAGGTATTCAAAAATGATGAACAAGCTTTATATTGCATGTAATTTTGAAATGTTCACATCTGTCTTTGCACAAATAATCACATTACTCAATTAAGACAAAAATATTATTCAAATATGTAAGTGATAATGAACAGTGATGTTTTTCTCTTTCACTAGAGAGGTCATTTAATCAAATGTGAATAAACATCAAAGTAGTGAAGTACACATCTTATATATATGCTTTTTTTTCATGATTTAGATTTCGTGTACATATAAGGCCATCTTTTATAATGAATGTTTTTGTCCCTTTCCCGACTCGTAAAAAAATTGGTTGGTAGGTAGGTGGGAATTTTTTCCAAGATACTTTGTAAAAAAAACATACTTATTGACCAGATGAAAAACTTGTGAGAAAAAAGAATTTTAAAAAATATGATTTCTTGCAAGTTAAATAAATGTTTTGAGCTGTGCCATTTTTAACCAATCCACCGGGAGTGGACAAACAAGTTTTTAAAGTTGGTCTAATGACCAAAACTAGAATCAAAGGATTGCTTGTAAAATCCTTGTGTTCTCATCAACAAAACAAAGAAACAGTAAACACTCTCTCTGAAAGTGCCACTGACCTTGTATATCTTTTCAGTGCAAGAAGGGTAAACATGAAACAGGTGTACATACGTAATTGTTTTGTTTATTAAGAGAAGAAACTTGGGAAGTAATTAATTTTCATTTACAAATTTTTAAAATGCATAGGCCTGGAGAGATTTTTTTCTTGTAGCTGAATACAATTTTTGTAATTACATGTATCCTCAGAGGATAGTCTTAAAAGACAGAAATGAAATGAAAATCTATTAAATCTGATTATCATCCTTAGTTTGTTCCAATGTCTTTGAATACAGAAAGGGAACTACATGCAGTAATGTGTGTGTGTGTGTTATTTTAAAAAAGTGTCCTTTGAATAGTTGAATTAAAATGAGCAAACTGACAAATACATGTGATCAACCTTTTATGTAAGTGGGATAACAAATATCAGTAGACTTAAGTTTATTACCCCTATAAATATATGTAATGTATATAACCTTGGATTGTTTTACGTGTAGCTCACCTGAGCCAGTGATTTTCTTATCAGAGCTTGTCAATATAAGGAGGTGAATGTATGTAAGTCTTTATTTCCAGTGAAAATTTGTCATATTTTTATCAGTTTTCTCTTTAAAAATCTCTGGGTGAATTAGAACACCCCCACCCCCCAAAAAAAACATCTTTGGATGGATGGGATTTGAGATTACAAGTTTATAAGCATGAAAACGGTATATCATTACAAGGATGTTTACTTTGAATGAATTCCTTAGAGTTATTTCATATATCCCTTCCCTGCAGTCCTTCACATATGAATTATGGAATATAAATTCAAAAATAGCTGTGGTATGGGCCCACAATGAGGGTCAATTTTTTACATGGAAAAATATAGTGTTTTATCCAGATTTTTTTGTTGTTGTGTTTTTAGCTCACCTGAGCCGAAGGCTCAAGAGCTTTTCTGATCAAAATTTGTCCGTCGTCTGTCGTTGTCGTGAACTTTTCACATTTTCATCTTCTTCTCAAGAACCACTGAGCTGATTGCAACCAAACTTGCCACAAAGTATCCTTGGGTGAAGGGGATTCAAATTTGTTCAAATAAAGGGCGTAGCCCTTTTTCAAGGGGAGATAATTATGAATTAGAGAAAAATTAATGGCATTTTTTAAAAATCTTCTTCTCAAGAACCACTGGGCCAGGAAAGGTGAAAGTTTTACATAGGAATATATAGGAAAAATCTTTAAAAATCTTCTTTTCCTGAACCACTGGGCCAGGAATGATGAAACTCATGTGGAATCATCCTCAGGTAGTGGAGATTCAAGTTTGTTCAAATCCTGACCCCCGGGGGTAGGTTGGGGTCAAAATGGCCGATCAAATTTTAACATAGGAATATATAGGAAAAATCTTTAAAAATCGTCTTCTCCAGAAACACTGGGCCAGGAAAGATGAAACTCATATGGAATTATCTTCAGGTAGTGGGTAGTGTAGATTCAAGTTTATTCAAATCATGACCCCCGGGGGTAGGGTGGGGCCAAAATGGCCGATCAAAGTTTTACATAGGAATATATAGGAAAAATCTTTAAAAATCTTTTTTTCCTGAATCACGGGGCCAGGAAAGATGAAACTCATATGGAATCATCCTCAGGTAGTGTAGATTCACATTTGTTCAAATCATGACCTCCGGGGGTAGGGTGGGGCTAAAATGACTGATCAAAATTTAACATAGGAATATATAGGGCAACCTTTTAAAATTTTCTTTTCAAGTATTTCAAAACCATGATTAGTTAAATTTATATGGAAACATCCTCAGGTAGTGTAGATTCTAGTTCGTTAAATTAATGTTCCCCTGGGGGGTGCGGGGGTTTAACCAATCCCCCCCCCTCCCCCACCTCAGTAAACTTTTAGTTCTGATCTGATATGTGCTTTTTCCTAGCCGATGTGCTCAGGTGAGCGCTGTGGCCCCTGGGCCTCTTGTTATTGATATGCAAACATTTCCACATAGTGTAGATGATTTTCAAAGCATAGCTGTAAGTCTTAAGTGGTGCAACAATAAAAAGATTTTTTTAAAAAAAATTAAAAGCAGTAAAGAAAGCTTTTGTTTCTTGTTGATATCATAATGAGGCCCATTTTACGGTGTTATATTTAACATTTATCTACTTTACTGCTTGTCAGAAAAATAATTGAGATACAGGTGAACCACGTGTAAAAAACATGCTGACATTATTGTTGCTAGATTTCGGATAGAATGTTATTTTTATGATGTCATAACTGACTTGGTAATTGTCTATTCTCGGATTTCAATTAGCATGTCTTTTGTAACTGTTATCTCTACCTATTTTAATTGAAATTCAGTTTACCCACACTATTTTTCTCGTCCTTCTCTATTTTTTTTAAAACTTTGCATAAGTACGGGAAGGTGATTTTTAAATGTGGGGGTCAGAAGGTAAAAAATACTGGTATCCAAAGAAATGTCTTATCTCAAAAATAAACAGGTGAAATATGAAAGACCAAGCTCCAACCCTTCACAAGTTATGAGTATAATGTTAAAGTTTTGATGGGACACACAGATAGACAGGCAGATGGGCAGACCAAAAGCTCAATGTCCCCAAATCTTTAATAAAAAAAAACCCATGCAAATAAATTGTCTAATTATTAACTAATCTGAACATTACAAATTGTAAGAAATGGTTCATTTGAAAATTCATTATACCCCCCGCAAACGAAGTTTAGGGGGGGTATATTGGAATCACCATGTCCGTCTGTCCGTCTGTCTGTCCGTCTGTCTGTAGACGAGATTTTGTCCGGACCATTACTCAGAAACTATTGGAAGGATTTGTCTGAAAATTTGTACACATATTATTCACCATATGAAGTTGTGCACCTGATATTTTTAATTTTGATTGGATTATTATTTTGAATTTTACAGGTGTTTTTTCATTTTTATTTTGTGGTTTTGTCTGGACCGTTTCTCAAAAACTATTGCAAGGATTAATCTGAAAATTTGTACACTTATTATTCACCATATGAAGTTGTGCACCTGGAATTTTCAACTCTTTTTGTTCATTTTTCTGCATTTTACAGGTTTTAAAAAAATTCTATTTGACTTGTTCATTTTGGGCTCATGTATAATGTTTGAGACATAGAATCTAGAATATCTGTACAAAAACGTGAACTACAGCTTAAAACTACTCATAAAAACTTAAAAAAAGAAACATCATCAAGTGTTAAAAACAGTTTTTACATTGCACAGAAGCTAATGTAATTTCATTTGTCTCTTGGGAATAATGACTGGACATGCATCCAGTTAAAGATAAATTAATGAGTTTGGTGTTGGAAGTCTCTTATCAAGCGTGTGTGTGTTATCAAATCTCCAGGGAATAAGGCACAAGAATTAAAGATCTCTCTTCTCTTATTCTCTTAATTGTAATTTATTGTCTGTCAAAACACTTCATTACTGGATGAGCACACTATTTTTCAAGCTCTTTATTTTCAAAATGCATTTCAAATTGATATATCAAGATTAATTTGATTTTGTATAATGGTTTTTTTTTCAACAATCTGTTTGCAGAGTGACATAACACATAATTGCAATAATTTTTTTTAATGCAGTAATAAAAAAAAAATTAAATGAAAAGATTAAAAAAAAATGTTACAATGGAATTACAATGTATTATTATTGATGTTTCATTTGGTTGCACCTCCGTTTCATTCATTAAGAAACATGATGAGCAATTATATTTCACTGCAAATTTTTGTATTACTAAGTAAATTGTGAACATGTCTAGATCCATAAAGTATTTTTGAATTGGCACCTTCTCTGAAAAACCCAGCGGGGGGTATTTGTCCCTATTGGACAGTTCTAGTTTATTTTAAATGAAAGTTATTTTATTTTGGATCTAACAGTAGATCACTTTTATTGAACTCTTAAGTGTATTGTGAGGGTTCTGAGGAGGTACCCAGAATTACATGAATTCATTTTCAAATATGAATTCTTATGCTTATAATTTTGTATTTATTGTTTTAGTTGATGTTTAGCACTTGCTATTGAAGAAAATTGCAAAAAACCAAGATGATTTGCTTAAAGGTAATGTACACACCGAAGAACTATAATTTGACAGGATATTTAAAAATTCATGATTGATAAAAAAAAAACGAATTTATTTGCCCACTTCAGTACTGGTTTGATAATAAAATTGAATTTCTTTGCCCATTTTGGTACTAATTTTCAAACACAAGCCTAAGTGAGATTGCTATATATGACAGATTCTTCATTTTTGGTGCACTGTGGATCCCACTTCATGTCGGTAGCTCGGAGTGAGAGGGAGAAGATGCCAGCACAAGCCCCTCAGTGGACAGAGTTCCTATCCTGCCAGGTACAGTATAATGAATATTGATGATCCTTAATATTGGTTTTTTGACATGTTTAGAACAAACAAATTCTAGTCTTGAGATGTACAACAGTCTTAATTACAAGAACCTACTCTGTTTTATCAGCTCTGAAAAAAATTTCATTCTCATTGGTTCATGTATTTTACCATAGATAATTACAGGTAGAATCTAAATATTTTCCTTACATTTGTTGTTTAGGTGTGTTACAATGTCTTCAATGAGACTGACCGTCGACCAGTCAGCCTGGCATGTGGACACACTGTCTGCAGAACATGTCTGCTCAATCTCCCCCAGAAAAAGTGTCCGTTTGACCAGTGTGCCATTACGAGGGACGTCAGTGAGCTGCCTGTTAACTACGCCCTGCTCCAGTTGGTGGGAGCCGCAATACCAGCTGAGAGTGAACAGCCTGCTCCTATCCCTATTCCAGAGAAATCGAAACATTATGAGTCAGCAAAGCACTGTATAGAAGAAATAGCTCTCTATCTTAAACCAATATCTGAAGGTAGAACTTTAAGTTGTGATTAAATTTAAGGGGTGTTAAGAAAGTTCATTCCATGAAATATTTTCAAAATTTTCAAAGTGGTGCTTCACTAAAGAGATGAATTTTCAATTATGACACAATCACTAGACTGTGCTTTAGATTTATAGCAATTCATTTTTCTTTCATAAGAAAATATATATAACATATTTAAATCACCTTAATGATAGAAATGCTGCTCAATTTGGATGAAAATAAGGATAATTTACTTTTGTTTCTTCACAGCTTCATTTTCATTAGACAAGTTGATGAGCATAGGTATAGGAACAATAGATCACTTTTTAAAAGAATAGCTTTGTCATTTTGAAATTTTTCACTGACTTGATAATTTTTGCATGGTATTTGAAAGGATGTTTTGACCTTGTGGTTTATATACATGTATGTCACAAATATGTGTCATCCCTATTTTTTTTTGCAAAGACATCATCTGTTTTAATACTTGCCCTCCCCTTACCGATTCAACAAAAGACAGTTAAAACCATATCAGAAGCAAGAATTGACCATGTTAACATGAAATATCATCAATTGTAAATATGTTCTCATTGTATTTATTTTCGAAATAAAAGAAAAATGTGGAATGAACTTTCTTAACACCCTTTATATTCATACATCATTAATTTTGAAAAAAATCTTTGCTTAGGGAATGAAAATGAGAGTTCCGTTTTACAATATTTATGCCCCCCTTCGAAGAAGGGAGGGCTATTGCTTTGCTGCTGTCTGTCACTTAGTTTGTCGGTCCATTTAGTTTCCTTCATTTTCTTCACTTGAAATTTGGTATACAGATTTATCAGCTGAATATCTAGGTCAAGTTCTGTTTTGGGTACGATCGTGCCATTTTTGACAGAGTTATGCCCCTAGGACTTAGAAAAATTCCAATTATTTGCAGTTTCTGTTCATTTTCTTTGCAGAGATATTTTGGGTATGATCGAGCCATTTTTGTTAGAGTTATGCCCCTTGGACTTAGAAACAATTCCAGTTATATGCAGATCTGTTCATTTTCTTCACAGAAGCTGCACATACTGAAATGAAATTTGGTATACAGATTTATCACCTGAATACTGTTTTGGGTATGACACGGCCATTTTTGATAGAGTTATGCCGAGGATGGTGGCATTAGTGTTTTACAAACATCTCTTGTTTCTGCACAGGTTGTACAACAGCTGCAGCAATAAGTTCTGGAAGTAGCAGCATATTAAGCCGCCCAATGCAAAGAAAGGTTGTCTCCCTTGTGAGTTGTCAGCTAGTGGAGGAGGAGGGCAGAGCTCGTGCTGCTCGAGCAGCCCGCTCGCTCGGTGAGCGGACAGTTACAGAACTCATTCTTCAGCATCAAAATGCTCAACAGTTATCATCCAACTTGTGGGCCGCTGTGCGGGCTCGTGGATGTCAGTTCCTAGGTCCTGGTATGTATCTTAAGATAAAAATTAACATTGTGCCAAAAATGATTTATTTTGGATATTCACAGCCATTGCTATATCGGAGTTAAACATTCAGTTATAGGACACACTATTTAAAAAGGAGAAAAAGACAAACAAATTATTTCAAAAAAGTATCTTGTTATATGAATAAAAAATAAAAAAAGCTAGCATTTAAATGTTCTTGTTTGCCTATTAAGAATTATTGATATCTGTATCTCTCATTTGGACAACAGCATTTTTGAAAAAAAAAATATATAATGGGTGTCATGTTCCTAAAATAAGGATAATTGAACATTTTCAGCTATGCAGGAGGAAGTTCTTAAGCTAATTTTGTTGGCTCTGGAGGATGGTTCCTTACTGTCAAGGAAAGTCCTGGTGTTGTTTGTTGTCCAGCGTCTGGAACCTCAGTATCCCCAGGCCTCTAAGACAGCCATAGGTCACGTGGTGCAGCTGTTGTACAGAGCTTCCTGTTTTAAGGTGGGTCAGACGAACCAACTCATCATGATTATAATTTTTCAGCAATATTGCAAAGGAATGTATGTTTAATACATTTTTTATAGGTTTCATATTTTAGTCCTTGACAGACCTCAAAAAAGGAACTGTCTTTTACAATTCAAGAAAAAATAAAATTTTAAAAAATCTGAGCTACATGTAATTTATACTAGTCAATTATGTACCCTTTTTTCACCCCCCCCCCCCCTCCCCAAATTTTAAATTTTGAGTTAAATCTGGTAAGTGAATAGAGTTAAAAATCTAAAAAGTAGATTTTAAGGCAGTATTTGTGATATTCAATACAATAAGAAATCACAACCTCATTTATCTTATAGGTCACAAAGCGAGATGAGGAGTCCTCTTTGATGCAGCTGAAGGAGGAATTCCGATCTTATGAGGCCCTGAGACGAGAGCATGACTCCCAGATCATACAGATAGCCATGGAGTCTGGTCTGAGGATTGCGCCGGACCAGTGGTCATCGTTACTGTACGGAGACACCAACCACAAATCACACATGCAGTCTATCATTGACAAGGTAGGACAGGAAAACGGAAAAAAAATGCCACAGTGTATCTTTTATGTTTTGCATGTATTATCAACCCTTGTTCAGCTTGAAAAAAAAAATCTTTTTCTTTAAAACTGAAAGTTCTAATTAGCTTGTTCAGAGGAAAGCTTGCCCATGCATTGTTGATTTAGATATGATCAATGATCCTGGGAGATAAGGCTTGGTTGAATCATATGCATTAATATAAACAATATGAGAACTACTGTTTTTTAATCTGTCAGATTTCTACTTGTAGCTAAAATTAAATCTTACAAATCTGTATTTATTTATTTACAGCTTCAGACTCCCCAGTCCTTCACTCAGAGTACCAATGAACTAGTGGTGGCCCTACAGCGGAGTGGTGACCCGTTTAATCTACAGCGACTCCGCCCACATTTAGAGTTCCTGGCCAGCATTGATCCCAGTCCTGGTATGTCTAACAAACTGGTATTCTATAAGCCATAACCTGAATTCTATAATCCATAACCTGTATTCTATAATCCATAATTTTGAATTTGCATTTTTGATCAAAGGTACAATTTAGAGACCATTAATCTTCACATATTTTTGTAAATTTTTATTTTGTATATAATCACATCTGTGTATCACATTTATTCTTGGACTTGAATACTAAAAAAAAGGTGTGAATTGCTAATCTCTTAATACAGGAAAACAAACAAGATTTAAGGATCAAAAGTTAGATTTTTTAACCAGAAAACTAAAATGTATTATTATTGATAACAGAGGCCCCTACTCCATCTTGGGAGAATTTAGAAGCAGTGATGAAAGCTGTGAAGACAGTGGTCAAGGGTCTGGTGGACTTTATACAGAGTAACGGAGCAAAGAAAGTGGACAACTCAGCGTATGTTAATGTCCGTTACAAGACCAGCATGTGCAGAGATCTGTCTGAGAAAGGGCGCTGTCCAAGGGGAACTAACTGTACCTTTGCTCATTCGCAGGAGGAATTAGAAAAGTAAAGAATTGATTTATGTTAAAGGGAACAACGTTCTGAAAATGTAGATGACTTTTTCATTTCTGATGACAATTGAATAGATGAAAATGAAATTCAAAGAAATTTAATGTATAGTATGGGGGTAAATTTGAAACAGTAATAATTAACCAGTCGAGTTGTCTCTCTTTTGATCTTTTGAAAGGTTGATTTGTCCTTAAAATCAATTTTACTATCATTGATAAGAAGTCATTTTATTTTCAAATTTTGTGTATAGAAAATGTGCTACCTTAAAGATCAGCGAGGCTATTCTAAATTACAAGAAAGTTAAAGAATAAAATTTCCATATATCCTTGTATGCTTACATGATTGCTTGATAGTAAATAATATGTATGCTATTGCAATATTGATTCAATTAATGCTAAGTGTTGGCCAATTATTTTCTGAAGCTGTATTCTATCAATGCATGATTTGGTTTTAGAAAAGAGGAAGTGTGTTTTAATGTTATAGCATATGTTATACAAACCCTGATAATATTTTCACACATGTCATGTTTATATTGTCCATATCTTAAAAAAAAAGGTTCAGAGCAAGAAACAAAAGGTCTGGGAGAAATGCTTGTCCCGCTAGTGATACTTCGACCTTGACCTTAAAACAGAAAGTCCAGTTGGACCATATCACAAGAACATCTCTGGAAAAGCAGAGACAGTTGAGCAGCAGCAGTTCTGATCCGGCCATAAAAGACCAAAAGTAAGTGGATTTATCAAGTGGTAGAAAATTTATGAATAAACGTAAAACAGAAAACATCATTGGAGAAACATTTCTGAAATTATGTGTCATGACTGACACAGTAAAAACAACGATAACATAAGTAAAATGTATTCATTCCTTTAATGCACCTGAATGCTAGACATAAGTTATTTATATATATATATCATACTGTGCTTGTAAATGTAGTTCCATACCCCCTGTTGCTGGAGCCCAGGACCTGACCCACGGGATGAATTCTCTGTCTGTGATTGACCCAGTTAAGGTGGGGGACAACAATGCCATGTCAGCTGTTCATGTCCATCAGCCTCAAATCAACTTCCAGAATCTGCCTCCTCAGCCGCCTGTACAACCCAATGTAGGCTCAATGGTACCACCTCAGTTTCCAATGTATCCCAATCAGTACCACCCCAGCATGTTACAGTCAGGGATCTACCCCAGTGCTCCACAGGTGCCCGTGGGTAACGGAGGAGTCATGATGAATATGCAGGGAGTGGGGTACTCAGATATGTACCAAATGGAAGGTTAGTTTGAATCAATGTACTACATTTGTGTATAAGATCGTCAATAATGAGTTTGAAAAAGTTTTAATTTTATTTTTTTCTATAAGATACATAATTGAAAGTTTTGTGCTTTGAATTCATTGATTTATATGAAAGTAGATAATTATTTGTTGGCTAACAGCACTGTTTAAAATGGAACTTTCTTTGTTCTTCAGTCAATAGAGGTTGTGTACAGCACCCATCAATCCCTTCACCGTATCCCATGATGCAGCAGCCACAGTACCCCGGGGTCCAGTATCAGCAGTTTGTACCTGGATATTTCCCACCTGGATACATGCCTTACACACAGAATCCAGGTGGGATCCCACCTTACATGGACTCCCACAGTGGTGTACAGGGTCCTGTAGAAGTTTACCTTAATGACCAGACAGCGACTTCAACTTCTTCATCCATTGCCCAGGATATGGGAGCAAGAGCAGGAGGGGATGTGGCCCCTATAAATCAGGTAAGAAAAATTTTTTTTATTAAACTTTGGGTTTGTTGAAAAGATCAGTCTTTAAAATCACTTATTTTCAGGGGGGTGACAAGTTGTGTGGTTTGAGGATTTTAAAATTTATTGGTACATGGGGATTGGATTTCTTGGTTGAATAGGTGTAAAGTTTATATCAAGAATTTGAAATTTTAACCATTTAGTTAAGAATTTTAATTTGTGGGTCTTCTCATACCATAAAAGCAATGCAATTCAACCCCCACAAAATAAGTGATTTTATGGTCTGAAAAAAGGTAAGATTTCTTTCTTAAAAGGTGTAGGATAGAAGGTTTGAAAGTGATGACATGTACAAAATGTATTTAACAACCATGTTAACTTACAACCATGGTCACTTACGATGTTTGTCCAGTGTAATGTAATGACAATTGTTTTTTGGTTACTTATTATTGCTGTAATAGTTTTTTTATTTGTCCTTATACTGAATGTATTATGTCCTACCCCTCCTATCTCTATTTTTATTCTGTTCAAAATACACTGGTGTTTAAAATTGTACCAGTCATATAGGCCAGCCAAAAAGTACTTGATAAATCTTTGTAATAATCATTTTATTGGTATTTTAGAAAGAGGCATGTAGGTTTTGTTTTATAAGTGGTTTTATAAATACAGTTTTATAAACCTAAGAAAAATAATAGCTGCCTTTCGGCTGATTTATATGACTGAACTTGAAAACTTGATTCCCCTTGTAAATCCATTCACACTGCTAATGAGTTAAATTTTAGCAGAACATATATATCATTCTCATATGTCAGTCCATTAATTTCAGCATCATTCACCTATTTCACAGATTTCAAATATTTGACACATGGGCATCTGAAGTAACATATGTAAGATAATGCATTTTCCCCCCTGAAAATAATCTATTTGATGCAGTATATTTCATTTTTGCTTTTGGGCGAGTCAACCTGTATATGCCCATTTGTTGAATAAAAATCTTTTTAAAATTGGGAAGAAATAACAGTGTAGTCTCATAAAAGTGAGAATGATTTTTGTTCAAAAAAATTTACCTCGGCAGGAAATCAGAAACCAAAATGGGAACTGGCAAAGGAGGTTGGTAGAAGCCTGTGAGGACTGATGCACCAGTCACTATAAGCTTTGTGGGCTGTCTACTGGTTTATTCTGCAGGCTACAGGCTAATAGATGTACCTGTCATTGTGTTAAAGCAGGGGTTTTGTTGGAAGTCTACAGTGTATAAGCATTATATGTATCAACAGATTTAAAAGGAAGAAGTAAATATAAAGTCAGTAAAATTGAATCATGGGACATTTCAAATTAAGAAGTCCTAAAAGGGGGGATACAAGATTGTTTGGAATAATAAGGGCCATACTGAAAAGTTGATTAACTGCCAAAAATTTAAAAAAAAAAAAAAAAACATCAAGAAAAAAAATAAAAGTAAAAAAAGAATAGAAATGCTGCTTAAATGTTCTCTCCATGTAGTTCACATTTTTATTTTTTTAATTTATTTTTAAAAATGAAATTTTTATTATTGATTGGTTTTGTGTAAAAGAATTTGCCATAACAAAGCTTATTTTGACATGGTTCATTGGTTCATAGCTAATACACATCAGATTTACAACGGAATCCTGGGATAGGTCCGGCCTTCCGCTCGATTCTAGTCTGTCAGAACCAGCGTAAATCGGATTGGTAGTGGCTATCACCTGTCCATCTACTGGACCTTTGTAACGGGGTTAGCATTACATTCCATGATATTGTTTTGCAGGCTGTGCCAGCAGGCTTCGTGGGCAACGATTAGCTGAATGGCCATTTCAGCTTTTTAGATTTTTAGTTTTAGTCAGAGGATGAGTGAATTAAGTGTGACTTAATACGTGAATCATGCTCTTTAAAACAAGAAAACTTTTTATCTTCATGTATGTATTAGAAATCATGACAAGGCACTAGATTTTTTTTTTTTTGCATGTATATTGTAATTAATGGAGAAAAAAAGAGGAAAACAGCTTTATTTCATTTCAATGTATATCTATATAAGCTAGTATATCTGTAATCTTATTTGGTGATGATGTCCTAAGTCTGCATTGAACGATCAAGTATTGTATAGTCACTGTGAGTGAGATATGGCCGAGCCATGCATACACTTCGTATTTTATCCCCCGATTTATCATGTATCTGTGGAATTGGTATGTGTTCATGTTTATATTACCGGTATACCGGTGAACTATACAAAGGAGCATTGACTGATTTACCTCAATATGATTGTATGTGAGCGATGAGGCTTTCAATCAATTAGTCAAAGAAGGTGTCATAAAAACATTTGTTAAAAAGAAATTCCATATTTTGTCCATGACTTTGTTAGGTCACCTGAGTAAACTCAGGTGACCTATTGCCATCTGTTTTCGTCCGTCGTCGTGCGTTGTGCATTAACATTTGAACATTTTCATCTTCTTCTCTGCAACCACTGAACCAATTTCAACCAAATTTGGCACAAAGCATCTATGGGTGAAGGGGAACAAAAATTGTGAATTTCATGATCCCTGCCCCCCTGGGGCCTGAGGGTGGGGCCAAAACCACTAAAATTAGCGCAATCTTTGAAAATCTTCTTCTTTACTCCTGGACATCAAGCAGTCAAACTGTTGGCATGATTGTAAGCAGCATTGATTCTCTACCAAAATTGTGATTCATGGCCATGGGGTCAGGGGTTCTAGTGCTAGGACGGGGCTAAATTAGTATATAGGGAAAATGCATTATTTCTTTGAAAATCTTCTTCTCTGCTCCTGGGTATTAAATAAACCAACTAAGTGCATAGTTATAATGAGCAATAGTGCCTCTACCAAAATTGTGAATTTAATGGCCCCAGGGTCAGGGGTTCTGGTGTTAGGGCGGGGCTCTATAGATTATATAGAGAAAATACATGAATTCTTTGAAAATCTTCTTTTCTGCTCCTAGGTATTAAATGAATAAACTAAGTGCATAGTTATGATGAGCAAGAGTGCCTCTACCAAAATTGTGAAATTTATGGCCCCAGGGTCAGGGGTTCTGGTGTTAGGGTGGGGCTCTATAGATGATATAGTGAAAATACATGAATTCTTTGAAAATCTTATCCTTTGTTCCTAGGTATTAAATAAACTAACTAAGTGCATAGTTATGATGAGCAAGAGTGCCTCTACCAAAATTGTGAATTTTATGGCCCCAGGGTCAGGGGTTCTGGTGTTAGGGTGGGGCTCTATAGATGATATAGTGAAAATACATGAATTCTTTGAAAATCTTATCCTTTGTTCCTAGGTATTAAATAAACTAACTAAGTGCATAGTTATGATGAGCAAGAGTGCCTCTACCAAAATTGTGAATTTTATGGCCCCAGGGTCAGCGGTTCTGGTGTTAGGGCAGGGCCTCTATTGATTATATAGTAAAAATACATGAATTCTTTGAAAATCTTCTTCTCTGCCCCTAGGTATTAAATAAACTAACTAAGTGCATAGTTATGATGAGCAAGAGTGCCTCTACCAAAATTGTGAATTTTATGGCCCCAGGGTCAGGGGTTCTGGTGTTAGGGCAGGGCTCTATTGATTATATAGTGAAAATACATGGATTCTTTGATTTTTTTTCTCTCTGCTCCTAGGTATTAAATAAACTAACTAAGTATATAGTAATGATGAACAAGAATGCCTCTTCCAAAATTATGAATTTTATGGCCCCAGGGTCGAGTTTCTGGTGTTAAGGCGGGGCTCTATTGATTTTATAGTGAAATTCTAATAAATTCTTTGAAAATTTTCCTTTCTAGGTATTAAGCAGGTGAACATACCTATATATAGTTATGATGAGCAAGGGTCCTAATCTTCCAGAATTGTGAATTTCAAGGCCCCTGGGTCAGGGGTACCATAGGGGGGGGGCTATACTTATATACTAAAAATGAATGAATTGTTTGAAATCTGCTCCTTGGTATTAATCAAATATTTTTGAAAAGCAAGGTTTGCCTTTTTAAAAATTATGCAATGTTTGGATCTAGGCCTAAGGGTCATTCAGTAACCAAACTAAGCAACTGCTAAGTGTATTGTTATAATATGATCAATGGTGCCTCTTTCAAAAGAGCATAGCATCTGGCTTAAAACATGAATCAAATTCAGTCACTAGAAAGTTGTTCCATAATGCTCAGGTGACCTATAAGGCCCATGGGCCTCTTGTTATAAGTATGCTGGGATCTACCTGTGGGTGAGTGATACTGCATTGAAATAGTGTTTAACACTTTTAAGTGCAATATTTTGTCCATGGTAAGCTTCTGAAAGTTTGTTTGAAGGTTCATTTACCTAGCTTTTAACAGTGGAGTTTGGTCATTAATGACAGTATATTTAGTCTGTGTTGTACAAAAGCACACACAGAAGGAAAAGTTTAGACGAATAATTATCAGAGAAAAGAGGTTTTCTTCCAAAAGAAATACATTCTGTGCACAACAAACTCACCTGCTCAAAATTTGTTTTATTGTTGCTTAGTTATGATCAATAATTTTACAGAGGGTTAAGTAATGTAAACCCCACTGAGATCAGGACCTTATTAACTCCCTTGAATGGTGTAGATCCAGATAGCTGAGGTGAAGAGCAAGTCTGATTTCAGTGTTGTGACCATACGTTAGTATTTACAGTGAATTAGATTATTATATCTATTAAAACTTTTTACTCGATCAAAATGAAATATAGGTGCCCACAGTATTTATATATTGGTTGTCTGAGAACAGAATACAACAAAAATTATTTAGCAGTTAATATTTTTTAAATGTACATTTTAAATGTTACTGCATATTGTTTTGTAAGTGATTTATATTAGTATATACAATGAAACATGTTCTTATTGCAAACACGCTTACGAGTCATTGTTGCTTAAAGGATGTGTTTTGCATTCCAAATGGCTCTAAAAAATATTTTGAACATAATGGATATAATGAATTTCCTTTATAACAAAGAAAAATTGTTTTTTCTAAGCATTTCATTATAAGCATGTTTTACTGTAGA